GGAAAATATTATATGTGGCCAGAGTAGTGGTTACAGAGTCATAAGGCAGCAATGTCTTGGTCTGGAGTCAGAACTGGGTTCCAGTTTTGCCACCAACCTGCTGTGTCACCTTTCCTGCCAGGGCCTCAATTTCCTTATCAGTAAAATGAGAGGATTGGTCTGTGTACTTTCAAAGACTCATCCACACTCAACAATCTAACAATCTACAGGATTTTGTCACTGGGCTGAGGCAAGGCCTGCTTTCAAACAGGTCATTAATTTAATAGCTCTTGAGCTCCTACTGTGTGCAGTCCCTGAGTGTATTAATTTCCTATTGCTGCTGTAACAAATTGCCACAAATTTGCTAGCTTAAAAACACACGAATTTGTCATCTTATGGTTCTGGAGGTCAGAATTCTGAAATCAGTTTCACTAAGCTAAAATCAAGGTATCAGCAAGCCTGTGCTTCCTCTGAAGGCTCAAGGGCAAAATCCATTTCCTCTCCTTTTCCAAATTCTAGAAGCCACCTGCATTCCTCGCCTTGTGGCCCCTCCTTGCCTTTCAAAGCCAGCAGCATAAAGTCATCACATCTCCTTCACTGACTAACCCTCCTGCCTTCCTCTTATAAAGACTCTTGTGATTACATTGGCCCCAGCCAGATAATCCAAGATAATCTCCCTGTCTCAAGATCCTTAATTTAATCACATCTGCAAAGTCTCTTCTGCCATTTAAGGTAACATATTCCCAGGTTCTGGAGATTAGTACATGGATGTCTTTGGGAGAGAGAGCATTTATTCAGTCTTTCACACTGGGTTTAGCTTTGGGCTTCATTTATTAAAGGACCAAGGAGCTCTCTTCATGTCTGAGCCCATAAGGGATACTCTCCTCTGGATATTATGCAGGATATCAATGAACTCTCAAGGTGAAAAGTGCCACTGTCTGATCACTATCACCATCACTGTCACCAACAGGCAACATTTGGGCACAGACTTCATGAAACCCAGTCCCTGTTGCCAGCAATTGACATGCACAAGGGAATACACAGGCAAAGTTTATGTTCAAACCAGTTGGCAACATTGTCTCAGGATGATTTCTAAATGATATAACATCAGGACAAACATCCAGCAGTGGCCAGGCACGCAGTAGGTGCTCAAAAAATCCAGGAGTTTGGAGGATCTCTCATAATCTCTTCTAATCACTGAGTTGAGGGTTTAGATGGGATTTCTTTGGCTATACTACTTCGGCAGGTTTGCCAGGCCAGATCCAGTTATGCCACAATAATCGAGCATGCCAATACCCTGGGCTACTCAATAATTATGCAGAGGCTCTAATAATAGGCTACTTGAGCAGCATGGATCGCTATATCTTCAGCTCCGTGAATGAGAATAATCGGCTAATGTGCTGGGGCTTAGCCGTTGTTTGGCACTGAACCATGAGAGGAGGTTGCCCCTGCATGTCCTTTCTCTCCTCCCAGCTGTGCCTTATAAGTTGCTGTCCCTTTAACCACAGGTTGTCCAGAGAAACAAAAACTCTCCCCTCAGGGGATTATAATCCTTCCAACTGCACACCAGAGACTCGGGGATCCAATGGCATAGATGCCTCCAAAAGAAAAGAAGAAAAGGAACCAATTCTCTGGCAGACACAGCTGAGTCTTTGTGAAGGAGCTAAAGGCCTTTCTGGATCAATAATACCATTTTCTGGTAAGAGAAAATGCATGTGGTAACATGGAGGTGACTCTAGTAAACGAGAAGGTGAGAAAGTATATTTAAATCTATAGCGCGGCAGTAAGAGAAGAGGCAGATTATCTTGCCATAATTGGATAACTGCAGACCTAACCCCAGAAAACTGTCCTTTTGACAAGGAAATGGAATGGAATGGAATGTTCTCCTACTTTATGGTTGATAGAAATGTAGCAAAATTCTTTGAGGGCATTTCCTTGAATATGCTTTGGAGACAACAAGGGCGGGCTGGAATTTCTGCCACTTGCTAGATGAATGGCTTTTCATAAATTACCTACCTCTCAGTGCCTCAGTGACCTTATGTGTAAAATAATAAATTGTGTATATATATAATAAAATACTGCCTTCTAGGGCTATTGAAAGAATTAAACAAGCTATTATATGGAAGTACTTAACATGAGCATACATCAATTGCTCAATAACTTTTTTCACTGTCAAGGTTTCCCTTAACACTCTGGAAATCACTAAGATGTTAAAAATCATCTAGTTTGATTCTCTCACTTTTACAGATATTTTCTGAAGATATTTTGTTAAGCACATTTATATACAAATTTCTACAAAGGTAATGTTTTGAGTTACAACAGCCAGTGATCCTCAGATTTTACCCTGGAATCATATGAACTTTCCACAGAACCCCAAGACAAGAAATGGTTCTGTTCAATGCAAAATGGCGGCTCTTCAGAGTTTGTGGTCTCTGTAAAGGTCTATCCATACCTAATCAATTCTGAAAACCAAAGGCAGACCAAAGAGATGGAAAAGAAGTAAGGTTATTGGCAAAATTTTTTTAAAGTTTAATTGAAAAATCCTACTTTGTGATATCTTGATTTGTATTTCATTACTAATGATTATGTTTGCATATGCAAGATGTATTTCACTCTGCGCATAACACAGGAAATGCTGAAATATATATTCAGATTGGATCTGTTTACATTTAGTTTTAGATGTGTGGGTATGCTGATTTTGTGATTTATTAAGATATGGAAAATTTGACCATGGAGTTATATGGGAAATAAGAGAAATTCATGAAAAATCATTTTTCAATTTGGAGGAGATGGAGAGGAGATTTGCATTAAAAACTATCCGTTATATTCTCTGCAAGCAAGAGATGCAGAGAAGCAAGAATGTTCCAGGTGCCCCATGTCCTGGAGATCTTTCCAGGTCATCACTAAACTAAGATCAAGACAGGACAAAGTGATGGTAGTAAAAGCTAAATGGCTTCAGATTAATGGGGGCTCAGGTCAGCCTCAACAGCTTGCTGCACAGTGACGGGGCATTAAAAGAAGCAGAGATAAGATAAATGTTAGTGACTCCAATTCAATAGCTTTTCTAGTTTTTCTCTATGTCAAACAGCTAAAGCCTTGTGCCATAAATGGTTATGAGTTTTGATTTTTAATACACAGCATGTATTGATTCCTAGCCACACACTGGGCATTACGCTAAGGTACTCACTTAAACCCCAAAACCAGCCAATGAAGAAGGCATTATCATCATTCTCATTGTATAGATGAAAATGAGACTTGGAGAGATTAAGCAACTTGGAAAAGGTCATCCAGAGAAGCAAGTGTGGATACAAGTGTGCTTGTGTGGGGTGTATGTGTACGTGCGTGTGCTCGTATGTTTTAGGAGAGGAATGGGGGTCTCACTTTTGGCAGAATGCTAGACCATGAGCACAGCACACTATGCTCCTTTCCCCTTCTTCTTTACTCTTGATACATCTACCACACTTCGAGAAAATTACCCAGGTAAGGCATAATCCCTCCTCATTCTACCTTAACATAACAGAGAGTTTACTAGCAACAATATTGCCAGAAATAGCTCTTCCTGGGCTACAGTAAATTGTATTTGCACCAAATGGACCTCTCACCTGTCCAGACATCACTCTGAGCAGCACAGAGGGCTTGGCGACAACAACGAGGGAGTGGTACATCCCACACCCTTTGTTCTGTTGTTTATTTGTTATCACTATGCTGCAGACCCAGGCATCCTTTACATCTGCAGATTTTTCCACTCCATGAAAAGCACCTACATAAGACTAAAGGGCAAAAGGGGGAAGGTATCCACCATCAACAAGAAACCTTTATTGAAGAAAGCAGCACAAAGCAGACTGAATAGCAGAGAAGTTGAGTAGGCAAGCTCTGATGCCACACTATAGAGATTCAAACCTTGCCTCTGCCACCAAGAGCTGGATGACCTTGAGCAAGTTCCTTAAGTCTACCTGACTCAGTGTCTTTGTCTGTAAAATGGGGATAATAATAGCAGTAGCTTCACAAGCTTGTCATGAATATTCAATGATATCAAGAATGCAAAGTGGCTGGCGTACACCAAGAACTTAATAAACAATCTCTTTCATTATTGAAGATACTCTACGAGTCATGCTTAGTGCTAAGGATGCAATTACATCGCCTCTATTCACACCATCTGGGTAGGTTAGGGAGGCAGGGTACATATGTTAAAAACTATAATTGATAAAATAAGGTAGACAACTGTCAAATGAGTAGCACAGATGCATGTTATGGAAATTCAAAGGAAGAAATAATCACAGAATTAGGGGAAAAAAATTAGATAACAGATGGTAGTCCAGAAAGGTAGTGACTTTACCAATGTCGCAAAGCTAGTATCGAAAGAGTTAAGAGTAAAATCTAAGTCTCCTGATTTATACTATAAGACTGTTTCATGAAAATATGCCATAATAATACTAATAGAAACATTCTTGCTGGGTTTAGTGGCTAATAGCTGTAATCCCAGCACTTTGGGAGGCCGAGGCAAGAGGATCACTTGAGGCCAGGAGTTTGAGGACAGCCAGGGCAACATAGTGAGACCTTGCTTCTACAAAACATAAAAATCTTAGCCAGACATGGTGGCATCTGTAGTCCCAGGTACTCAGGAGGCTGAGACAGAAGGACCATTTGAGCCCAGGAATTTGAGGCTGTAATCAGCTATGATAGCACCACTGCACTTCAGCCCTGTTGAGAAAGCAAGACTAGATCTCAGGAAAAAAAAAAAGAAAAAAGAAAAGAAAAGGTTTTAGGCTAATCTGGTTACAGGCAGAATGAAGAGGAAGAGTCCAGTGGCAGGGAGACCTGTCAGTGTCTAACAGGAGTGGCTCTGAAGAAGGATGGGGTGTTCTTTGGCTGTTTCCCAACTTGCCAGGGGCACACTGTCACAGGCCTGCCTCCCAATCTCACCACAGAGCACTGAAAACGACTGACACTCTCCACTCATCTCTCTCCACAGACTGTGGCACTTCTGCATCCGTAGCGGTAGACGAAGTCCATTGGGGGTCATGAAGATTTTTTCCCGCTACCAGACATTTAGATTCATCTGGCTCGCTAAGCCACCTGGCCGTCACTTTCACAGAGATCGCCAGCTTTGGACACCTCTGACTCTTGCTGACTTTGAGGCCATAAATCGCTATGACAGGCCATTGCCTAAGAACTTTAACTTTGCTGGGGATGTGCTGGACGAGTGGTCCCAAAAGGAGAAGGTATGAGATGATGGGCTTCCGGTAGAGGCTCAGCGTTCATTTATCTCTCAGTCTTCCATTTCCCCGTTCTGTGGTCCACTGATTAATTTTATTGCAATTCTTTCACTCTCTTGGTTTCCTTTGTCGGTTTTTCTACTATCCTCCTTTCTCCCCTGGGGAAGATCTTAGATCCTCAACCACATATGGCTGTCTTTCTCTGGAGCCTCCTCACCCCACCCCCATCGTAGTTTCTCAGAGTCACACTTCTTTACCTTCTCTTTTCTCCAAGTCCCTCGCGACAGCTCCTTGTGTTTGGGCTGGTCACAGGCTTATCCAAAAATGAGTAATTTGAGCTTTGGTTTTATGAATATTGCTATCCTTGGAGTATTCAGGAGAGAATCAGAGATTGAGAAGAGTAAAGCAAGCAAGCCTTACAGAATATTTGCAGTGCAGCCTCAGGACAAAATCCCTGCTTAGCCCCACCCCTCGCCAGGCACTGAGCTGAACACTCTATCAAAGTGACCTGCAGAATCTGTGGTTCAGAAGGAGATGTTAGGTACTGGATACACAAGATATTAAATAATATTGAATCAATCCTTCCTGTTAAATAGAGGGAAAAGGCCTTCTTTGAATGCCATTGTGTTCTTAACACCTAACACTTGACTAAACTCTCATTTGAACAGAGAAAGCATAGTTTTGTTTTCAATATATTTATTTTTCGGTAACTTATTTTTAGCAAGTGGTACTGATTTTCTGACTATGGTGCTGATTATATGCAGTTTCCTTCTTGAGTATAATACGTACAAGTATAAGTGAGTAAATGTAAACAAATATGCACAAAGTACAATGGCGCAGGTGCAGACATATCTGGCAGAAATAATGATACTCAAACAACAGAAGATTGTGAAATACTGACCTATATTATTTCATTAAATCCCCATAACCACCGTGGGGGGTTTGCGGATAAAGAACTTAACCTCACAGAAGTTAAGCTACTTACCCAAGGTCACACAGCTCCAAAAGAACCTGAACCAAATCCCTGATCTTATGGAGCTTAGATCCATAGGGCAGGGACACATCTGTAATACAATACAGTGCAATGGAGTTGCCTGGAACATGAGCACGATGCTGAAGGAACACAGAGAAGTAGGTGGGGAAGCAAAGGGGATGCCAAGAAAGGCTCACAGATGAACTGAAATGTCAACTGGGCTTTGAAGTATTTTTCAACTAGGAAGAGTAAAGGAAACTTTCCAGTTGTGGGGGAAAACAGGGAAGTAACTTTTCTCCAGGTAAAACATAAAGCAAAGAGGTTTTGCAGTATAGATGACTTGCTTTGTAGAATGATAAGAGAGAAGTTTCCTCCAGAAATCAATCAATCAATTGATGCCACCCTCCACTCTGCTCCTTGAGACCTGTGAAACCCACATCTCAGCCTTTGGGTACAAACAGATGTCAGGTTCCTAATCAAACCTAGCACATCCATTAGGGTTATTTGGATGGGACCCAATAATCGATGACCGAATAACTTAAGCAAGAAAGAAATTTATTCTAGAAATGCAGGAGAGCCCACAAAATTGGACTGGAAGCTGGAGAGTCCATTTCAGTGAGGACAGGAACCAGGACAGCTCCGTGGGGATGCATAAGCACCAATAGCCCATAGACAGGTTTTGTTCCAACCATATTCTATCTTTTGATTCCTCTCAGAAAACTCAAAGTCCAGGGAGAGAAAGTCCAATTGGCCTAACTTTGGTCACATGCCCTCCTATGGGTCAGAGATGGGTAAGCACCCTGAGGGGTTGTCTTGCCAAGGCTGTGTTCAATAAGGGAGGAGCAGTTCCCCCAAAGACAGGCTGGGGTGCTGTTCCCAGCATGCACAGGAACAGATGCTAAGGGGGAGAAACGGCAAATGCTCCACCTACCTGGTAACCAGCCTTGTAAACCTACTCTTCTCTTTCCCACGTGGCCCTGGCCAGACAGGGGAGACATCGGGCAACCCAGCCCTGTGGTGGGTGAACGGCAAAGGGGATGAGGTGAAATGGAGCTTCAGAGAACTGGGCTCTTTGTCCCGAAAGGCAGCCAATGTACTTACCAAGCCCTGTGGCCTGGAGAGAGGAGACCGGGTGGCCGTGATTCTGCCCCGAATCCCTGAGTGGTGGCTGGTAAACGTGGCTTGCATGCGAACAGGTCAGTGCCAATATTTAACATTTCTAAATCATACAGAAAGAGAGATTGAAACTCGAAGGTTTTCTGAAATGTTAGCTCTGACTAAAGCAGTACTTACAGTGGACAGGAAAAGAGGTGAAATTAGACAATCATAATGTAGGAATATTATCATAACAACCTTAAGAGGTAGGTATTATTGTGATAACTGTTTTCCAGAAGAGGAAATCAAGGCTCAGAGAAGTTAAGAAGCTTGCCAAAAGTCATACAGTTACAGCACTAGGCGATTAGGCTTTAAACACAAAGATCTATAAAAGAACATGTGAGTACCAATGCATCTTTGCAGTAGCTGGCTAGATTATGCAATGATATGTTCAACTAGATGTTCCAGAATTTACTTCTCTGAATATATCTGGGTTCTCCCTGACATGAGATGTATTCAATGTATTGATATTTAATGTATTCAATAACACACTTTCTCCCAATGTATTAATACTAATTTGTAATGCAGCCCAAATAAAAATTCCAACAAGATTCTTTTTCCCTCTAGGCCAGGAGTTAGCAAACTATGGCCTGTAGGTTGGCCACTTGTTTATGTAAATAAAGTTTTAATGGATACAGCCATGCTCATTTATTTTATACACTGTCTGTGGCTCCTTTTGTTTCACAACAGCAGAACTGCTAATTGAGACAGAAATACTATGACTCACAAGGCCTAAAATATTTATTATCTGGCCCTTTATCATAAAAGTTTGCCCTCCCTGCTCTAAAACATGACAACTGTTTATAAGTCAGTTAAAAATAGTCCAGGTGCAGGGCCTCATGCCTGTAGTCCCAGCACTTTTAGAGGCCAAGGTAGGAGGATCACTTGAGACCAGGAGTTCAAGACCGGCCTGAGCAAGAGTGAGACCCTCCATCTCTACAAAAAATAAAACAATTATCCGGGCATGGTGGTGCATGCCTGTAGTCCCAGCTACTTGGGAGGCTGAGGCAGGAGAGTTGCCTGAGTCCAGGAATTTGAGGTTGTAGTGAGCTTTGATGACGTCACTGCACTCTAGCCCAGAGGACAGCTAGATGCTGTCTCAAAAAGCAAAACAAAACAATAAATCAATTAAAAATAAATAAGAATACCAAAGGATAAAATAGTATAGAGAACAAAAATATGTTTGTTGCAGTATCATTAATAGTAGTAAAAAATTGAGAACTTACATAGATATTATTAAATAATTTATAACTTAGTTGAGATTAAAGTTTAGCTGAAGTGTGTTTATTGCTGATTGAAATTATGGCATCTGAACTTGGAATATCACTGAAAGGCTGATGTAACCTTTTAGTCCTAAATAATCCTCAATAAAGGATATTAAGTGATAGATATCACTAAAAGAATGATTATAAGGATTTCATAATAGTGTTGAAAAATTTTCTTATTGCCAATATTAAATAAAAACAGCAATATATAAAACTTGAAAATGTAAAACAAATTGTGGATTGAGAGAAGATTATGGGTGGTTGGGTTTATTTGTCATAAAATCATGTATTTAATATTACTTAATGTATGCAATTTATGAAATACTAATGAAAAATGAACACACAAGCTGAGTGGTTAAAAAAACACCACTCAGGTAACTAAATGTAAAGCAAGCAGCTGAGGATTATGTTTCTAACTCAGACTTATTAAATCTTCTGTGTGAATATTGAGATTGCTTGTACTACACCACATGGCAAAACATTTTGATTTTTGCTGTAAACTATATGCAGTAAAGCCTAAGATATCTGCTACCTGAAATCTAACAGAAGAAAACTTCTCCCAACCCCAAAGCTAGAGGTCTACCCATTGAACACATTCACATCGCAAGTCATTAAGAACAAGTGATTTGTAAAATAAATAATCTTGTATTTTTATATTGAGCGAACATTCTGAGATCCTCTAAGGTGTTTTTTTAACTTCCTTATCCTTGTGTATTTATTCATCTTCTCAAAGCTTTTCTAAGAAACATCTAAAAGCTTTTAAAATATATTCGATAAAATAAAGTCTCCTTTATAGGAATTCAGCTCCACATCTCCCTATTTAGCTACCTTCAGGGAACTCACCAAGAAATAAGCAGTCTGGTATATAGCACAGGTCTTGGGAGTCTGGGAATGCACCTTTGAACTCTGGCTGTGCCACTTACTGACTTTGTGACCCTTGGGCAAGTTGTCATCTATACACTGGGATTAATTTTAAGTGAAATACCAGGCACATAACAACTGTTCAATAAATGGTAGTGCTTATCTGTAATACTTTACATACACTCCACTTTCTTCCCATTGATTCACTTTAGAAAGTGCAAACTACCTTCTCTCTCTTTTTCATCTGATTCTGCCATATATGTTCTTCCCATAAGGAGCTGGTACTTTAAAATCAGGCTCATCTCCAGTCAGTATTTAGGCTAAAGTGAGGAGGTGGGATAAATTAAGCATTGCCAAAGTGGTCTAGGCAAACCTCAATGAGGCCAGGCCCCTGGGATCCACAGATTTAAGGGCTGGCTCTCCCACTCACCAGCTCTGACCAAATCTCATATTCCATCAAATGGAAACAACTGCATGGACTGACCAGGGCTGCTGAAAACAGGAGTCTCCAGGCAGTTTTTGGCTGTACAACCTATTGATAAAAATATTTAAGATGCATATCTTCCTACCTAAATATACTTATTTATGCTGCTCTACTGCATTAATATAGTATGCATATTATAAAACATAGATACAAATGAGATAAAAACATAAAAAGAATTCTAGTATCTCAATAATTTTTTAAAAATTCTATTATTTTCTTTTCTCATTCCCAATGGATTGTCTTGCAAGACTCACTTTGAAGACCATTGGTTCAGAGGATTAAATGAGATAATATTCACAAAAATGTGTTAAAATCTGTAATGTGCTATTGAAGTGTTGCATAATAATGATTCAAATGTTACATAAAATGTTGTATAATAATAGCACACCATTCTAATGCCTACTGTATGCTAGACACTTACTATTATTATCCCCCTTTAACAGGTAAGGAAAGGAAGTCACAGAGAGATCAAAGCTAGTAAGTTACAAGGCCAGGATTAGACCCATGGTCCGTCAGACTCCAAAGCCATGTTCTAAGGATTTCCCAGTGATCAGTCCTGTGGGATGTCCCTGGGAACCAAGGCAGGGGTAGCTGAAGGCTCCACTCTGAAGCTCCTACCCACCCAGGCACAAGGCCCAGGTTTTCCACAGTCCATGAAGTCTTACCTAATGGACAGCAGTTCTGTTCAGCTCAGGGCCCTCTGTCTTCTCCCAGGGCTTGTCTTCATGCCAGGAACAATCCAGTTGACAGCAAAAGACATCCTCTACAGGCTGCGAGCATCCAAGGCCAAATGCATTGTGGCCAGTGAGGAGGTGGCCGTGGCAGTGGAGTCCATTGTCTCGGAGTGTCCCCACCTGAAGACCAAACTCCTGGTGTCTCCATGTGGACGGAATGGGTGGCTCAGCTTCCAGGAATTATTTCAGTGAGTATTTTTCCCAGCTTGTCCGCAGCACCAGCAACAACACAAATGACAGCTACATCTCAGTATCCCCTTGCCTCCAAGGACTTGGCAACATTGTGAGTTGAGCTGGGCTCCTTCCTAGAAAAGAATTGCCTATTAAAGGGATCTAAGGGCGGAGGGAGGGGTTTTGGTTTTTGTTTTTTTTTTTCTGCTTCCTATATGGCCTGTGAGGAGTATCCTGCATGGCTTGGTCCTTGCCTAGTTCCTGGACCACATCTCCCACCATCTTTCCTTTTATTCCTCAAACGTACCCTACCTCAGGGCTTTTGCACTTGCTGTTCCTTCTGCCTTGCATGTTTTGCCCTACTCCTTTTCTCAGGTGGTTCCTTCCTAGTGGATTTCAGTTCAAATGTTTGAACAGCTATATAGAAGATGAATTTAAGGAGGACCAAATTGAATTCAGAGAGATGATTAGGGGAGAGATGATTAGAATCTAAATCTGGGCTCTGGTGAATAGGATATAGGGAAAGGGGAAATGTAAAGAACTAGCAGGACTTGGAGACTAAATTGGACGTGGAGGATGAAGGAAGGAGTCAAGGCTGATCTGCTTTTTTACTTAGGTGACTGGGTGGATGGGATACTATCAGCTGGAGAAAGAGTCAGCAAAGGAGCTTAATATAATGAGTTTAGAGTTGGACATATTGAGACCGAGGGGTCTGTGAAACATCCAAATGTCTAGGAGGTGGTAGATATATAAGTCTCAGGCTCAAGGACGTACAGAGAGAAATCTGGAAGTCATTGGTACATAGTCTGCACTGAAAAATCCAGAAAGGGCTAGGTGTGGTGGCTCATGCCTGTAAACCCAGCACTTTGGGAAGCCAAGAGTTGGAGACCAGCCTGAGCAACACAGTGAGACCCTGTCTCTATAAACAATTTTAAAAAATAGCCAGGCATGGTGATGTGTACCTGTAGTCCCAGTTATTCAGGAAACTGAGGCATGAGCTTCACTTGAGCCCAGGAAGCCCAGAGTTCAAGACTGCAGTGAGGTATGATTGTGCCACCGCACTCAACCCTGGGTGACAGAGTGGGAGTCTGTCTCTAAAAAGAAAAAAAAAGAAAGAAAAAGAAAATCCAGAAAGATTATAAGTTAGAATTCAGGTATCCAAGGAAAGAAAGACAAGTCAGACAATTGGAATCACTGCTTGAAAATCTCCTTGTCACTCATAGATTGTGATGTCACTTCTTTTAGTTAAATAAATAAAGACTTATATCCAAAGGTTACTGTACTGGATTAAGAAGTGTTCAGGTATAAGAGGTTCCTGCCACCCAGGGTATTAGATACTTTGAAGAAATCCTCCTCTCACTAGCCCAACACACACCTATATTTATACTGAAAAAAAAAATTAATACAATTGAATAATCTTTTTCTATTTTAAGGGAAGGAAGAAAGTTACCAAGAAAACCACATTGGCTTGGCACAGTGGCTCACACCTGTAACCCTAGCACTCTGGGAAGCCAAGGCAGGAGGATTGCTTGAGGTCAGGAGTTTGAGACCAGCCTGAGCAAGAGTGAGACCCCATCTCTGCTAAAAATAGAAAAAATTAGCCAGGCATGGGGGTACGCATCTGAAGTCCCAGTTACTTGGGAGGCTAAGGCAGGAGGATCGCTTGAGCCCAGGAGGTTGAGGTTGCTGTGAACTAGGCTGACATTACAACATTCTAGCCTGCGAGACAGAGCAAGACTCTGTCTAAAAAAAAAAAAAAAAATTAATATTTCATGAAGTTATTGTTGACAAGATAATGTATGTTTATAATCAGTCCTCATTGTTTTACAATTTCAATGACAATCTTATTTGTCATCAAGATGAATTCTTATAAAAGAGCATCCTTAACCCTATTCCCTTCAACCAGGCAAATTAAAAATATGATACAGAAGTCTCAAAAATTCTTAGACGTCGTATCAGTTATCCATCACTGAATAACAAACCATCCCAAAACTCAGTAGTGAAAATAACAATCATTTTCTTTGCTCATGTTTCTGGGGGTCAGCAGGTCTCTGCTCCACATCAGTTTGATTGAGGCTGGAAATTCCAAGGCGGCTTCATCCACAAATCAGGCTTTGGTGCAGGCTGTCAACGGAAGAACCTCAGTTCTCCTGCCCATGGCCTCTGTCTCCAGCAGGACAGTCTGAACATCTTTATATTGTGGCCAACTTTGCAACACTACAGCCACCACCCGCCCTCTACCAGCTCTGAAGAAAGTGAAAACTAGAAGCCTCTTGAGGCCTGGGCTGAAAAGTCCCAGAACTTCTGCCACACTTTAGCCCTCAAAACAAGTCATAAGGCCAGCCCAGATTCAAGGCAAGAGGACATATGTTCCTCCCTTCAATGAGGGAATGGCATAGTTGCACAGGGATGGAAGGAATTGCTGGGGCTATCTTTACAGACAATCTTAACACAGATTGTTATCAGAATGTTTTTGGTTTTAGTAATCCCAGTAAAAACGACTTAAGCAATATAAATAATTCTATTATCTCACAAATAAGTACAAAGGTAGGGTAGACTGAAAGTTGGTTAATTCAGTGGTTCGATGAAGTTAACATGGACTCAGATTCATTCATCTTTCCATTGTGTCATCCTCTGTAGGATCCCAGCATGGCTAGGGTACCACCAGGCATCCTGTGCTTTCACAATATTCAAAGGCCATCAAGCAGGATGGGTGGGGTGGGAGAAGAAAGCATCCCTTCCTCAAGACACTTTTTAGAACAAGGAAATAAAAGCCTTACATTGTATGTGCCCATTCTTAAACCAATCACTGGTAAGAGAAGGAATGACCATGACTGTCTTAGGTTAATCAAGAATTGCCCCTAGAAGTTACACAGGAACAGTCTTCCCTGAAACACATGACTGCCTGATACCCAAACAAAACCAGAATGTTTGTTATTAGTGCAAGGAAAGAAGAAGGGGATAGCTATTTGGTAAGCAACTGGTTGTGTCTGCTAGAGATATTGAAGATATTGAACAAAAATTATTAAAAAGTTTAATTCAGTGGCCGAATGTGGTGGCTCATGCCTATAATCCTAGCACTCT